CTAGACACAAGACCATGCACAACACCAGACACAAGACTAGACACAAGACCATGCACAAGACCAGCCACAAGACCAGACACAAGACTAGACACAAGACCAGACACAAGACCAGACACAAGACTAGACACAAGACCAGACACAAGACTAGACACAAGACTAGACACAAGACCATGCACAAGTAACAGGCTGAACAATGACAAAGGAATGCTTTTGTTGCTGTTCATTTAAATAGCTTGTGACTTGAATGCAGACTCGAGGTCTTGTGCTGGTCTGGTGAAGGTCTTAATTGGTCTCGACTACAACACAGGCCTTTGTGCCTGCAGACGATTCCTCTCATTGGTCAAAGAGTTTGTCCGTGCCATTCTTTGTGATATTTCTGTGACCTTTTCCAAAGCTTCAAAATTTTACCAATGCTTTACAATGAACAATTGTTGGTTTTTTTTCAGTTGAGAAGCAGGGAGGCAAAGGGTCAGAGGTCAACATGGGTGCCAGTATGGGCATGGGCAGCTCTCTGAGAACCGGCTCAGCCAAAGATAAGAAACCACTGGAAGGCGTCACTTCCAAATTCTTTGTTGGGACGGAGGTAAGGTGTTTGTCAACCACCCAAGAACTTTCCTAGTCCTTCAAAATCCTAAAGAATTATCAGCTTTTTCCTTCAGATAAATTTTGTGGCTGAAACGATTTTTAGCGGTGATTTAAGTGAGATTTTCTGATGACATGCCAGCATAGTATGGTACTAATCACAATATTTCAAGGAAAATCTAGTACAGTTTGGTACATTGAGAGGGTAAGTCACGCACAGGTTTATGAACACTTTGAAGGCTTTTTTTGATGAATTTTTTCCCATGTTTTGTAGGCTGGCGAGTTAGTTTATGCTGACTGGAAGCTGGAAAAGGATGCTGACTCTGGCAAGATTCAACGTAAGTTAAACATCGGTATTTTGTGTCTGATCAAAGTGCCCTCTACCTGTCATGTGCAAAGCCATTACACTCTTGGTACTCTTTTTAATGGTGCCATTTTGTTTGTTCACTTTGACGCCAGCCCCACGGCCCCAGTTTGCCAAGTTGTACCATGACTGGGGCATCAATACGCTCCAACGCTCGCCGTTCTTCAAGGATCTTGTCCTCGCCGTTGGGGGCTGGAACTTCACCCTGTGGAAGGAAGGAATTGAGGTGAGGAGGGGGGCATGGTCAAGCATGCACAGGGGTGATGCACTCACCTTTGACCTCTTAGTGGGCACGCCTATCGAGGCTTAGCCTGAATCGGACAACTAAGTCAACAGCCTCTCTTTTACTGGTTTCTGTCACCGTTCCGCATAGCCAGCGAAACTGAAAGGCCAATGGGCACATGCTGCACTCCATCCTAGACAAGTTTTGCACCCTTCATCCTAGTCTAGGGCAGGGCTGGATATGAGTGTGTAGCCCCATGCAAGCTGATGTTCATGCACCACGGGGGTCAAGGGGTCTGCCATCTCTCCAATGGCACAAAAAGGGTCCGTACTGGTTTGCAGCCCATTGAGCCAACAAGGCTTAGTCAGTCCTGATGCACCAATCAGTTGGTCCAAGGTTCACATCCAGGTTTGCATCCAACCCAAAATGCAATGTCACAATCTCCTTCCTGTGCCTCCCTCATTCCAGGGCGGTCCAATCATCCAATCAGCCACTGCCCCCAAGAAGCTGACGGCCGGCTACTGGTCACCTACCCGGCCGGCCGTTTTCTTCGTCGGTCGTAGTGATGGTAACATCGACATCTGGGACCTCCTGGACAAGACCCATGAACCGTCGCTGTCCCAGAATGTGTCGGCATCCACCATCACCCAGATCTATCCCTGGGTTGTCAACAGTAAGTCCAACAGTCACGACCCTTTCCCCTCTCAAATTCAGCGATAAAATCCTGCTCTGCCAGTGCTCAATTCACGATAAGAGACAAAATTGGGCGACAGGATGTCTTCCAGACAGACAGATATGAAGAAAGTGGCCATAATTAACAGGATTTTGTTTTTACAGTTAGCTCTTGAAAGAGCAAATGGAGAAATTTTTTGATGTACCACTCAATTCAGCATTCTGTTGAACATGAATGTTTGGGGATTTGTTTTGATTTACACTAGTCAAGATTCTTTCAAAGACCTTTAACACAACTTTCAAAACTAATAGGTGGGGTGGCATGGGCCTTTTTGAAGTGTGGTAGACACAAGAGCACTGTTTGAAGTGGGTGTTGAATTTGGAGTAAAGACAGAGGATTTTACCCATGCCAAAGAGCGCCCTCCTATAGTATCCGCTGTCCTCAAGTAGGTTAACATGCAACGCGTTGATTTTTTCTGTGGACAGGCAAGCAGCAACTGTTGGCGGTATCAGACAGCGTGGGGACCTTACACATCCTGGAAGTACCTTGGTCGTTGCGTCATGCCACCATCGGAGAGGTCAGAATAGGGCCTGTCAGTTCTCTAGATTTCTATGTTTGCCGTGTAATTTTGCAGTCGGGATTTGCATTGGTTGCATTCGGTTCCATTGACTAGAATTTGGTTGCATAGAGGGTGAGCATTTTGTAGTATATGATCTAATTGTGTTGATTTCCTTTGGTTGGAATAGACCTAACACATAATGATGTAACACAATGTTTACTGCAGTGCATTGTGGGCGATAAGTGGGGATAGAAATCATAGATGGTGGCCATGGTCGTCAGTCATGCGAGCCTTCGCGTGACTTTAGACGGAGCAAAGTTGCAGTCTCCGGAAGCTTGAAAAATGCAGCTCCGGCATTGGTCATGTGCTTGATACACGCAGTTGCGCCCCAACAGTTAACACAAACCATTTTGGAAAATACAGGCCTTCTCAATCTCAGGACCTTTTTGACAATTTTTCATGAGCGTGATGTTCTAGGAGTCAGGTTGGCATAGTGGTTCTTACCTCGCCTTCCACCTCTGCAGTCCGGGTTCGAATCCCGACTTGGTCCACTTGTGGATTGGGTTTTCAGTCCCTACCTGATTTCGTGGGTTTTACCCAGAATATTCCTTTTTCCGTTTTCCTCCCACCTCTAAAACTGTAACTGCTTCTCACTGTCTCCTCTCTACAGGTTTCTTCAGGCTTACGAGCTACAGTGCCTTGGGCGCTTTTGAGGAATTCTCAAAGTTATGACTAGAAATAATAATAGCACAGATTGTCGTCCCCACCTTTTACCCATAATGCACCACAGTAAACGTTGCCACGTTTGGTTGCATTTGGAAGCATTTTGTTCAATCGGTTGCTGTTGAAATTTGCATCAGATTACATTTTGGTTACAACTGGTTTCATCTACTTGCATTTCTTACACCAGTTGCCCAGTATGACCAGCTACATCGAGCGGGAGGTCAAACGGTTGGAATTCATCGACAAACGACAAGACTTCCACATCCAGAATAAACGAAGGCTGGATGCAGAGGAGGCGCAGCAGAAGGTAAGACAGGAAAGAGGATAGCAACGGCTTGGTGCTTTGTGAGATGTCATTAGTTAATGCTCTGTTCCCTGTCAGCTGATTGGACTAGGTCCCAGGTGGGTGCACTTGCCAAACACGGTGCCTTGTCAACAGTGTTGTGGTCGAGACCACTTCACAAGACCAGCACAAGACCTCCAGTCTGAATTCAAGTCACAAGCTAATCAAATGAACTGCAACAAAAGCATTCCTTTGTCAACGTTCACACAGTTACTTGTGACTGGTCTTGTGCATGGTCTTGTGTCAGGTCTTGTGACTGGTCGTGATGGTCTCGACTACAACACTGTCAGTCAAAAAAATGTAGATAATGAAAGGGTTTGCCCGTTGCATCAGTCATTTGAAGGCTAAACACCTAACTGGACATTTTCAGGCTCTCACGGTTCTTGGAGGCACTGGGCTGAGTTCAGATTGCTCCGCCCCCTTCTTGTGAATATCACAAAATCTGCGTTTTGTAGAGGTACCCCCTCACCAGTCAAAGAAGAGAGAGTCTGGTGAGGTTCATTTTGACCGGTCGCACAGGCACAGGCCAGGACTGCACAACGGAAATTTGTCACATTGCTCCGCACAATCCGCGCCATGTGTGTACGAACTTGTGCGCGTAGGCGTCAGCCCCCATCAAAGAGATATTATCCTGCCATCACAATCATGCAAGGCGCAGATGATGGTTAGATTTCATCTTTTTCTGGTTTTTCGCTCACATGATTCACCTCAGTCATCGTACCTTGCTTCATTGCTCTCAGTAAACAGTTTCAGTTCTACCAATTACATGTACACATCACGCTTCATTGCATTCGTTACTACCACTTCCTAGCCACATCGTGGTAAGCCACCAGTAGAGTAGTTGGTTTGGTCTTGGAATTTCCCCATTCTAGTTGTGTTCTCAGAACAATCCCTATTCATATTGTAATGGCTTGGACTTCGTTTTTTTTTTTTTTTAATCGTCGATGTCAACCACATAGTTAGTGATTGTACCAGTTTTGTCAGGTGGAGCGGCATAACGGAATCAATCCACGTCCTAAATAGGGCAAGGTACTGCCCCAAGACTTGGGTGTATGGTATGTTTGTTTGTTTGATGTCAACACATCTTGTGTGTTCTCACCTTCAGATGGCTCAGCCTGCAGAACCCAGCACAGAGGAAGTGGAGAACAAGATGCGAGTGGGTTATCTGGACTACTTGGAGGAAGAGAAGAAATTCCTGGAGGCGTTGGGGCTGAGCACGCAGCCAGAAGAACCCCTACCAGAGGTGTAATTGCTGCTAAAACTCAAGAGCAAGAAACGAATACGTGTGACCTCCTACGGTAGGCCAAGTTCTGGTTGTCAACGGAAAGATTTTCCTGGTAGATTATTCATGTAACTGTTAATGAGAGGTCGTGGCAGCGGATAATTCATGGCCTCTCAGTGACATGGCAAAGATTTGGGGGAAAAAGCAATAAGCCATTTGCAAGTTAAATTTGAATAAAATCTGGTATACCGAGTTCATTAAATTCATGTGAACATAACAACTTGAATTCTCCGTACTAAGACCGTTACTATACCTCGTGATTTGGGGCCAGCTTTTGCTTAGTTATGTAAGAGATGCCTTGCAACAATACACTGTTCTAAATGGACAAGAAGGGCACAAAGGAACCAGTCCATTCCAGAGACCATTCCTGGTTGCTATGCAAAAGCTTGCCCCGAATCACGAGGTATAGCAACAGTGTCTTTAGTCTGGGGAATTCAAGTTGTTACGTTTCTATGCAATCAGATAAAACAGTATACCAGATTTTATTCAAATTTAACTCACAAGTGGCTTATAGAGATCCATGATACATCAAGACTGCCATGGGTTATCAAGACTGCCTTGGGTTATCAAGACTGCCATGGGTTATCAAGACTGCCTTGGGTTATCAAGACTACCATGGGTTATCAAGGCTGCCATGGGTTATCAAGACTGCCTTGGGTTATCAAGACTGCCTTGGGTTATCAAGACTGCCATGGGTTATCAAGACTGCCATGGGTTATCAAGACTGCCATTGGGTTATCAAGACTGCCGTGGGTTATTGTTTAACTGACAATGCATAAAAGCAGAAGAGTGACCAATTTTCCTGGTTTGGGTACGCCAGGCAACATTTTATCAAGAACACCAACATTTGATTTGGACTTCGAATGGAGAATGTAATTTATGGTGCGAGTGTAGATATGAATTAATATTTGTGTTTGAGTATTTACACTTCCAGAGTTTCCGTCCATGTTTGGAATTGATAAAACCTATTGCAATTTTATAGTGAATAATTGTATATTTTTGTTTATAAACATGTAATTTGGGGAAAGTTCAATCTCGAACGGTGGTGTTAACCGTAGTTAACTGATTGAGCACATGCTGGTGTACGATAGTTTGACAGGAGACATTGGACTGTTTGCAACAAGGCGGCAGGCGTCTGTCACAGGTTCCATGGATCTCAAGGTTCAGTGGGGAGCTTGGACAAGGTTCTGGGACATTTGACCAAATCTGACCACAAATAGGCCCATGTATTGACGACATCACACTTTGGTTACCGACTTTGGTTTCTGACGAGAGCCTTGTGAAGACACCGAATTTGAAGCTCCAGAGGGAAGTGGAGATAGAAACAAAGCGTCACGTCATTAGTACACAGGCCCATTATTGGCACTTGCAATGGTAGCCCATAGCTGTGGCGTTGGACATCACAACCACTGCGCTGGATGGAACTTTCTCCAAGGCATTTTTATAGTTTCTTTCCAATTCGCTGCTCAAAAGACCTGGCAGAAGGATAAGTAAAAACCAAGTGCCCACGCGGCAAATGTATCAGTCGTAGACTTTTTATTTAACATCTTTGGATCCTCAAATATTAAAAAGGCATCCACTTTTGAACACAAAACTTGCAGCACTACACTGTAATGGGCATCTACTAACCGACGTTACAAACAAGTCCGAATTTGGGTCCGCGAGGAAATGAGAAATGCCCCCCTCCCGTATAGAGAGGAGAAAAAAACACAGAGAGACCCAAACAGCAGCGGTTTGAGCAACTTGCCGCAGCAGTGGTTAAAAATGCACCAGTGGAGGGCTTCTCCCAAAAGCATAATCGCACTACCTTTTCCCTGGAAATTTCTCCTCTGGATATGGAAAGCGTCATCCATGCAAGGGACAGTGGAAGTGGACCGAATGGTTTCCTTAGAGTGGCGGGAAAATACCTTTCCAAGCTACCTGTAATTCCACTTTCTGGAGTGTTACATATTTGGCTTCATATTAACCCTAACAACCAAGGTGTAATTACATATATATAGAATTTTTTTTCAATGAAGTATGGTTCGGGTTAATGTACAGGAGAATTTACATTATTAAGTGAAGAAGTCTATTACCTGTACTGCTTCCAAATGCACAATCTCTTCCTATTCTGTTGGCAAATGACCCCTCTTCGACAATCCAAAACACTGACGCAACGAGACAAGTCAACAGAAACTCAGTAGAAGCATCCGAACTACGTATACAGTGAATGAAATAGAATTTGTCTACAACTACTCTATAAAAGCGACCATTTTTTTTTTCATTTTTTTTTTGGTCAAACAGTACCGAGCTACATACATGAGGTATACACACTGTACGTAAAGAACTTCATCCGTAGGTAACTTGTCAGAAATTTGCTGCAACATTCAATAAAAACCAAACGGATATACTTATGTTCCAGAGAAAGTTGATTTTTTTTGTTAAATCTTACAATAACCATGAACAGTCGTCAATACCAGCTACACATGAATTGATGGTACACATTTCAAGTCCATTGTTCTCCACATTTATAAATTTACAAATGAAACAGATATCCTGTTTGTCTTTTTTTGAATATTTTTGTATATAATTCTTTTTCTTTTAGTTACAAGCAAATTTTCTTTTTTTATTTTGGGAGCTCTTTCTCCAAAATGCCTAGAAAAATCTGCGCCCGAGTAAACAGCGTAACTTTTATCAGTTCAACAATCTCAGGACGACCAACACGAATGAATTCCAAAATTATTTACATCACGTCGACGTGCTTCAATGGTCACAATTAAAAAAAGAAACAAAACGCCCCTTCCCGAATGAACGTTATAACCTAAACACGTGAAACGCGAATTGTTGAAGCAGGTTTTAAAAGGAGTAATAAATACTGAACGGAGTTACTCAATGTACAGGAATCCGATACGAATGTTGTTTGTTGGGATTGGTAATATCTGACTGCATCACAGTGTTATCATTCCGTACCAGAACAGCACATGTCTGTCAACATGGTGGGTCTGACTTGAAACTAATAAGTCAGGCATGAGCTCCGAAAGGAAACAGTTGTGATCGTGCCGATTGTGCTGAGCCAAAAATTAGGAAAAATAGTGTAAACTGCGGAAATACCTTCACGAAAATGATCAGGCTGGAGTAGATGTTTTTCATCTTTCACTAGGAGGCAATTTTAGGTCCTCGCTGTAAAATGAAGTCAGCTTCATTGTGTTAAAAACATCTTGAGAGAAGAAAAAAGTCCAATGCACAAACACTGCAGCATCTTCCCCAGGCCCCAAATTTTTATGCTCACACACAGACAATGATATGGTGGAATTTCAATTGGTTCAACTGCACATATGTTGCATGTTGACATGAAAGCAAATGGATACACAGTTTTTTTCTGACTTCAGGGGTTTACATGAAATGCAAGGTTATCTTTTTTTTCCCCTGCCAAAGTGTTCCACGGATGCATTTTGCTTTGAACGAGCCTTTCCATAAATGTTCAGCAGCCTGTGACTTACATGGATACTGTATCTTTGTGTGTAAAGACACAAGAGCTTGAGTAAGAGGCTACAACTTCCAAAAGCATATCTGTGAGGAGGCTACACCCACTTGCTGTTGCCATCAACCTGTACACAAATCAATCCTAGCCACAGCCATAACTTTGGAGAAAGCCTTAGTCAGCAGGGCGCACCGAGCACGTCTGTAGCCCCTTCTCAAGCCAGTTAAATATACATTTATACAATTCTGGGTTTCACTGAGCCATTTTCTTTGAACAAAATTACAAGTACCACCCGATAAAATTGTTACCTGAATTAAAAACAACTCTGAAAACTATGTACATGTATACGTTGGCCAAATATTAGTCCATCAAGCTCTGGGTGCAAGTTTTTTCTGGGTACATTACTAGCCAAAAGCATAAATGATAAAATAGGGTCCCAATTTTAGAACCCTGAATACTGTGAGCACTTAGAGCTGGACATTTGGAAAGTAGCTTTGAATTTCACCACTCTAAAGAGCAAAAGGTTGCACTGTTGCACAGCAATAGTTATCAAAGCCCCGGGCGAAGAGTTATTTGGACCCTACATGTAATTAAAAAAAAACAACTGAAACTGACCTAGACTCACTTTCAAAACATTACAATTTGATTTAAGTAGAATCTTTGAACCAACACAGACACATCTCATGGGGGTCATAGGTGAATTTTTTTCCCCCAAAATTTTTAAGTTGCATCCAAACATGACATTATTCTCTCCGAAAGATCTCCAACAAACGAATGTAACTCAAAACAAAATATGGTACAGTATTACAGGAATCTTAAATAAACACAAAAACTACCGAGATGAACATTTTCAAAAGGGTGCCAAAGAGATCCGCTCAAAGAGAAACACTTTTTTTTAGATTCAACTAGCCGTGCAGGAACATTAAGACCCACAACTCTTATGAAGTGCATAATATTTTCACCCCCCTCCTCCTCAAGAAAAGATCACACCTAATCTAAGCAGTTGTGAATTGGGATCTGGCATTATGTTAAATAGTAGAAATTCTGCATTTGAAAGATGAAATGCGTATGTCAGATTTTCAAAGCTCCGGATTTGGGTTATTAACGAGTTCAAGAATTTCCAATACCAATCTCCACTACAGGTAGCCAGAAGACATGTTATGATTGTCTTATTTACCAAATTAAACATTTAAAATATTCATTATTAAAAAGCAGATGCTTTGTTCTTTTAATGCTTGCAGGGTTTTTTCATTAATAAAATGAATTTTTAGTAATGTACATCAGGTGCATTTAAATGTTCCAAAGCATATCCTGAATTTTTCTAAAGCGTGGTCCCTCTATTATAGACAGTGAGCCCTCTTATGGCCAGTTCTCGAAAGCTTCAAGTGTTGTTTTACAAGCCTAGTTAAAACAAAGTACCAGTAAAGGTAATTTGTGGCCAAAGGGGATGAGGTGTACATTTCATGAGACAACTGAAAACAAAAACACCAGAAAATTTCCCTGAAAGTAATGTAACTTGTTTTTTAGAAACACAGAAGCCACAGATAGATTACATACATGTACTCGGGTCACTGGATGCGTGTTGTGGTAGTGAGGTCAGAACATGTTTTTGTTTTCTGTTCTCAGCCCCTTACTGGTGGTGCTCTGTGTTTAACTGTAACCTCAGTACTTATTGTAACTTCTGTCATGCATCAGTGCCCAGAGAGGCTTTTGCCTTGCAGAGGTCACAGCTTTGTAAACATTCAGTCGAACATCAGCTTTTAGGAGCATTGAGTCGAGTATCTGCCTTACGCACATTCAGCTGAAAATCAGCTTTGCGTGCATTTAGTCAGAAATGGGTTTTGTGGACACCCTGTTGCAAATTGGCTTTGTGCACATTCTGCTGAAAAATCAGCTGCATGCACTGCATACCTTTTGGCTCCTCAAGCGGGTTACACTTCACCACCCACAGCACCAACTCCAGTGACTACCATGGACATAATCAAATCTGCCTGTTCAACATTCTTGTGTATAATACAAGACTTTCCATTCACCTACATGCACTGACAAGCATACGAAGTCTGTTTACTTAAAAGGAGTAAAATGCTGACGTCTTCAAGTCACAATGTTGTTGTTTGTCAGAGTCACTTTTAGAGAGAGACATACTGCTACGGCACGACATCATCATATTGCACCTTAATAACACATCATAAAAATCATACTAAAAAAACCAAAGAATTAATATACACATGCTAATGTGTAATGCCATCCCCCCCTCCCCATGAGATACCTCCAGAAGTTACATGTACAAGTGCATTCCAAACATTCTCATTTTCATTGAGAATATATAATTACAACTGTTCAACTTTTAACAACAATTAACCAACAGTAGTAAACCGCTATTTAGAACGTAATCTGTTACTCGCAATGAACTCGACAAACACTGTGAAACATGGCAGGCAGACCTATGTACAATTTCTCTCTCTCATATATATTTGTAAATTTTTTTTTTTTTGGTAAATTTCTTTTTCTCTCGTACGAGGAAGGCAGTTTAATCAATCTACATGTAAATTTCCATTTTCTTGAATAAGATGTAGGGAGCAACCCTACAAATTGGCCGAAGCCTTTCATAAAGAAACAAAAGCCGATTAGTTGTGGGCTGGGAAAACTGATACTCGTAACGCATATGTTTTGCCGTGAACACAACAGGTTAACATTCACGACTATATACACAAAACCGTTTTCTAAACCCCCCCCCGTCCATTAAAAGAAACTGGCATTAACTGGCCAGTGCATGACCACCCCTGGATGTGTGCCCAGTCTGTTAACTAGCCAATCAAAGGCCAGCACCGACTGTGACTACTGCCATTGGTAGGGCAAAGCTATCTTTCTACCAAGCCAATTTTAAGACCGGTTAAAATGACCCGCACAGTGGTCATTTTGGCAAATGTCCAGTACTGCTACAATACAAACCACATACGTATGAAAACTTGAATCAGTTTTAAGACCCTCTTAGAATGCACCCCATACTGCTTTGCGCACCCAAAATCAATTCACTTTTCTACCATTTGGATCATCAGAGGTATACACATAATCAGAAGGTACTAGTTTTAAAAGAAAGCCAGCACCTCATTTTCGTACATCGGTGGTAAAGATGACCCATTTTACCTGGTATCCGATCACATCTGTTGACCACTGGTTTCCGAACTCTGTGGACTACCGTGAACACACTCCTGGAAAACCGTCCCAGGAAACCTCCAGCAATGCTCGTCCTCAACAAGAGGACAAATCCATGACTTGATCGATTTCCAGATGCTGACTTCAAGAGAGCTGTGGGTGAGTTGATGGGTGGCTTGTGGTGTCTTTCTGAAGATGATAGATTCTTGCCGAAGTGTATCCTGTCGGCAGTAACACTGGGCTGATAATACAGGCTGAGCTTGGCTGAAGAAAGCTTCTGTCGTGCAAAGTCTCCCTTCGAACAAAAGACTGGATTTTTTTTCTTCGAGGCCAGCAGACTGGAATCCATTTCAATCTTGGAAACGACCGCAAACAAAGATCAGCACACATGGGTATCAACTGAGGGGTGGGTGGGTGGGGGACGAGGGGTGGTTGATCTTCTGTGGGGACAGGTGGGTTGCTTTGGGGGAGGAGCAATGCAGAGTGGGGAACAAGTCCTGGTTAGAAATCGGCAAATTCCTTGGCACATTTTTCTGTTTGGGAGATACGGAGGACCTCTTCTTCGTAGTCGTCGAAGTTGCTGGGATCGCTGGGACTTTTGACTTTGGGTACGAAAGGGGCTTCAACCTGCGCAGAAGTACAAAAGAAAATCAGGGATCAATTGTGGACATTTAATAGCAACTTGAGAGTACACTGCAATTGAAAGTTAATCATGAAGGGGAATTTCACATTGCATTTCTCAAGGCCTGCAAGTATTTCCCGCTTGAGTGTGAAAATGTTTTCCCACTTTTTTTGACATTTTGTTAAATGAAAATGAATTCCACGGGAAAAGAAAACATGGGAAAAGAGTTTCCCATTCCAAGGTCAACTTTTAATTGCAATATACAATAGGTGTGGTGTACTCCAGACTAAACCAAGGAGGCGCCATTACTGCATGGGCCACTTGGCACGCATGTCACAAGTCCTTGAAATGGGGCACATAGGGGCAGGTCACAAGGCCCATTCATCAGAGGGGACGTTAATGATGTATATGGTTTTCAGCATGACACAGACAGTACTAACGCTGCAGCAATGGCTTCTAAGGCAGGTTGCTGGAATAAGTCTACAGTGACGCCTGGGCCTATTTTTGTAGACTTGCCGAGCAGAGACTGTTGGTTAGCAAATGCACTATGTAAATACTCAGCAATAACCAGCAGGGAACCAGTTGTTGATAAAAAGTGAGTTAATCTGATTTGGACTAGTAACCTGTTTGAGCAAAATTTCCTGTACTTACAGCACATCTTTTACAGCACCTAGCATGTACATTTCTGAACAAGCCTTCTTGGTACCACACATAGGTAAAGGTTGCATTCAACTTCTCGGAGTTGTTTTTGGGGCTGGGCTCAGCAGTACATGGTAACTCAATGCACATAAGGCAGGTTGGGGCAGGGCGGGGCCAAACAGGCAGGGGAGGAACGGATTCTCACGGTTACCTTCTTCTGGTAGATTGCAATCCAATCCGTGCTGCCGAACCACCTGGCTCCCTTGATGTCGGCAATGCCATTCTTGAGGTTGCCGTAGCGCTTGGTGAGGTCCACCTGCAGCAGGTTACGTAGCAATTCCTTCAGGTCAGCGCTGAAATGCGACGGGAACCGCACCTGCGACATGCCAGTTGGGTTAAAATACTGTGAAGATATTGCTCTCACATTTTACCACTAGTACAAAATGGTACACGGCTATACATGCCACACGATGACCAATTTTCACCAAAATCACGGCAGTGCAAAAATGCTGATTAAATCTTACGTTTGAATGATCCCTGTAGCAAGGAGGATTTTAGCCGTAATTGAGGTAATCCATACAGACTTCCTTCAGTTCACAGGATTTCCATGCATGGTTTGACCATTTAACAGTAATCTTTCTAAAAGCCAATTATGACTGTGTGGCCAGGTTGGACCGCAATAGTCACCAGACTTTGTAACAATTCACACTCACTTTCCCTGAGACAATTTTCTCGTAGATCTGTATGGGCTGATCAGCGAAGAACGGCGGGTAACCAGCAGCCATTTCGTAGATAAGGACACCCATGGCCCACCAGTCAACTGCCTTATTGTAGCCCTGTAGGGGGCAAAGGGGACAACAGAGAGATACTATGAGACATGATCAGGGGTGCTGGGGATCTGAATGGATCACAGTGATTCCAAATTACTGGGTATTATCCACTGGGCTGAGTGCAGTGGTTTAAGACCTGGTCCAGAGCTTTCCATGACCAAACAGCAACAACTAGTAAACAGATACTGACTGCTTCAAGTGGTCTGATATAGAGATACTGACTGCTTCAAGTGGTCTAGTATACAGATACTGACTGCAACAGGTGTCTAGTATACAGATATTGACTCCTTCAAGTGGTCTAATATACAAATATTGACTGCTTCCAGAGGTGTAGTAAATTAGCTTCCCAAGGTGTTCCATAGCACCTTTCTCCTTCAGATTCTGCTTAATTTAAAGGATAACTTATTAATTTGATCTAAATACATATAAAAGGCACGTCTATTTGAATAAGAAATTAGTTGAAAATTTACCAGCTCTTTTCCAAACTACGAGTACATTGTACCTCTTCATGAAATGTTTGAACCCAGCTCTGTAGCGCTAGCGCTACGGAGTGCACGTGAACTGATGCACAACGCACATACCAGTATGCATTTGCACACAATTCTGGTGGTTATGCATATAGTTCCTTGCTTGCTAAAGTTAAAGTACTTTGCTTGCTATGGGTATAGTTCTTATGGCCATAAATAAAAAACCTTGCGAATGTCATGTGACTGGCTCTTGGCCAATCAAGATACAGAATCTGTGTGAAGGCGTTATGAACATTGATCAACAGGTGTCTAGAAATGAGCAGGCAACCAGCATATTTGACCAGTTACTCAACTTCCGCCTCTGTTGCCTTTTTTTCAATCATAAAAAATACCACCCTTCTCTGTACTATCATATCACAATCTTTAAGCAGGACACGTGCACATGCACGTATATCAATCATTTTTTAATAGGTAATGGTATAAACATTAACAGCAACAGCTCTCTGAAATACAATATGGGTCATTAACATGTAGCTCATTTTCCAAATGATTTTGCCTGGTTGAGAACAGCTCAACAAAAATACTTAAAGCACAAATTGATACATGTAGGACAAAGGAATCTGTTTAAAATCAAAACCAAATCTACACTAGTAAAAATACATGTATAAATACTCTGCTTACTGAAATTATTTTGGAGAGATAAATCTTGAAGTTGTAGCCTACTGGTTATTGAGCATGAATTCAAGTTTTGAACAAAAGCATTTGGTTCTCGAAGTAGCTGCTAATTGTCGTGATCAAGACAGTTCCTACAAATTCCTGTGGTTACAGTTGATATTTTTCCAGAGATGGAAAGCAATCAACACCAGACACAAAAACTTCTTTCTTGTAAATTCATTGGTATGTTCTGCAATTTGAAAAACAGCTGTTGACAGTTTATTTTTCACACTGGAAAATTACTGTAAAAATGGTCCAAACAGCACAATTAGCATTTTTTGAAATGGCAATCGACAGGTGAGTTCCAAAGTTCAGATAGTATCCGAATCACAGGTCGATATCCTGCGTCGTACCAATCCAGGTCTTAAATAATAAAGCATGTTGCCCCCGCATTCAAGCAATATCATCGGCAAAGGATCACTGTGATGTATGATGTGGCCAAATGCTAAAGAAAACAAGGGCTGGTCCCATGCCACACTGTTTTCCATGTACACACCTGCAACGTACTGTGCCAGACACACGCACAATACTATCATTGATTGGTCAATGGACATGCAACAAAATGTCACAGCTACCACGGTATTCATTATAATATGCAGAGCTCCAGACGATGTGCATGTACAATGTACATGTACATGCAATGGGTGTGCATGTACAATGTAGCGGTACCATACATCATTACATGTAGCACAGGCACTTATGAAACATGTCCAGGCACTGAATTCTGGCAATGCTGCAGAAGACATCATTTTGAGATTGTCTGGAAAACAACAAGTCCAGTCTGTGTGGTATGTTCTTGTCATTTATGCTTTGGGCTACCTTTCTTTGGCCATTAACCGTCAATATGGTACAGGTATTTACCGGTACATGTGACCAGGTCATACAAAATGAGTGGCAGGGGCACATTTTTGGTCATTCCGTTCGGGGTTTACATGAGGAGCAAACCTAAATCTCTATTTGGATGTACATGTATCACCCACTTTGGCACCCAATGAAAATGGATAATATACACGCATGGGTGAAAAATGCTGAGAATTCCCACTGCTGGAGCAAGGTTCTTTCAGAGGCTTTTCATTCAACAGCTGCTCTTGTCTCTTCTGCCTCCTCTTGTTAGGTTTTCATGTGCATGTACAACACATGCGCGATGCCGTCAGGTACATGTGTGACCTCTGGCCACATGTTGATAGAATACAAATAGTAATGAGATCTTTAACTTAACCTATTTTGGTTTGAAGAAGATACTCAGTTGTTTTTTATGGTTGAAAAAACTTTCACAATCCAGGACTGAAAAAACAAAACAAAAATAGCAATATGATTAAGGATTTATTCCTGGTTGCAATAACAACCTTACAGCTGTCATCAGTGGCTTTAAAAACTAAATACAATCATCTTCCACGTACCCTTTTTAAAAACAAGTTTTTCGGAGCTCAGCAAGTAATTTTTGATTTTCTAATTTTGACAGAGAAATTGTCAGTGGATATTTATCTTTGATGAATAACAGATTCACATAAATATTTAAACCGCTGCTGGCACCGCTGAGCAGGGTTCATAAATCTGAGGACTACAAACAAACATACGGGCCCAGGACGCGCAGTAAATTTGAATTCTACCCCAGTCGGGGTGAGATTTCCTGGAAGGAATCTTCATACATGTAAATGCTGAAAGCCTTGAGGCAGTAATGGTCAAAAACCGGAAATGGCAGAACAAATATCATTTTCCAGACAGGAGGGCAGAATGTTTTCCATGCAGCTCACATTTATGTCCTGGGCAAATTGACCTTAACACCCTAGGATGTATGTCAAATCATGCTAAAATTGGAGGATTTGGGACTGTTTGGGAAAGCTATAGGAAAACCCACTCATTTTGTACGCAACATTCTGCTTTGTATTTCAACATAATTTGAATTAGATTTTTCTCTTTTCCAACACACCAAATAACTTTTCTTACGCAGGACATGGGGGGAAAAATGAATTTTGAAATTTTCTACAAAGGATTAAACTGAAAGGCAGAAAGTAAAATCATAATTCACTGAGCAAATTAAAAAAAAAACTTTTTCAAGCCCACCCCCCAAAATGCTGTTGTTCAATTAACATGTACTTTAAATCTTTAGACAAAAATACAAGAGATAAAAGTTACTGTCAAGGACAAACAGAAGATTCTGCTATTAAAAGATATGCTGACAATGGGCATGTATTAATTACATGTAGCTCTATCTTAGAAAAATAGATGGTTTTAGAGACGTTCTCGACTCTACTCTGGGATTAGTGGAAATCATGCACATGTACTCTTTCCAGTTAATGTTCTTAAGTACCAAAAGTACAGCGAACTCTGCAATTAATGAGATGCCACAATTTAACACATCTCTACACAATGTGATTCATTCCAATTCAGTTCTACCAAAAAAAAAAAAAAACATGCAAGAGTCAACAGGAGAGTCGTCTCACCTTGCTGAGGATGATTTCTGGGGCGAGGTATTCCGGCGTCCCACACAACGTCCACGTACGGCCTTTCACCCTCTTGGCAAAACCAAAGTCTGTTACCTGTGCGGGCACACACACACAGAGATGGCTAGAGCCGACTGCTTATTATCTGAGCATGAGCATTAACTACCTGTCCTACCGAAGCCTCTGCCAACGAGATGCATTGACATCAGTGCATCACCAACCAAACTTGTGTTTTTTCCCCTGATTTCTTTTTTCAGGCGACAAGTTCCCTGACATCTAACACAATTTTGCAGAGAAAAGTTCTTTGGAACCATAAACTGAAGATTGCCAAGGCCATTACGACAGACTGACAAGGATAGCCTGCAAAATTTATCATTATTCTGTTGCTACACCAAAAGCTGCCAAACAAAAATAACCTTTGTATGATCTCGATTTCTATGGCATTACGATGACTTTTTCCTCATGACAAAACGATTCCAAGACATCCTATTTGCCCCAATTTTCTAAGACCTTTCAAGGATAACTTCCCCCCCCCCGGATTTTTACCAACCGTGGAAACCCTGATTTTTCCACCACAACCTGTTTTGTTTTTGTTTTCTCAAGCTCTTTTAGATATGCAAATGAGACTCGGCACATATGCATGGGGCTGTGCCTGGGAGGGGCTTTTCAACTGTGTAGTGCCTGCCATCTTACCGAGATGTAGCCCGTTTTGTCAATGAGTATGTTTTCTGGCTTGAGATCTCTGTAGATGATGTCCAGATAGTGTAGGTACTCAAACGCAAGGACAATTTGCGCTGCATAGAATCTTGCATGGGGTTCACTGGGGAGAAGAGCCAAAAAGAAATGAAGAAAACTACATGTAGAGTTTTCAAACAGTCCAGACAACGATCACTCATGTGTCACCGACAGTAATTGCGTCGGTATGATGGAGACACATCTGGCTTGCTCGTCTTCCATGAACATTTCTCAGAAAAAAAAAGTGGGTTGTTTGGAGCTGTGCCCTCCACATTTTATTTGGCGTTGATTGTTTACCTTCAGCTGAAGGAGTATGTTCTAAGATAGGGTCATTTGATTAATTTGGGAGGAGGGGTGCGAGAGAAGGTGGAGTGCCTTCATGGAGATAGCAATGATTCTGAATAAGCAGGCGGGGAAATGGAAATCAGAAGTGTAGGAAGATTTCAAATTACACACAATTTTGTATACCAGTTTCATGATAGTGGGGCACACATGGGGGAAAGGAAAAATAAAAAGCAATAAAATGATCCAAGGAAAAGTGGCTTTTCTCAGCTTTTCTAAAAGTTGATCATGTACATATTTTCAACACCTGAACGATTTCTCCAAACTGGCATTTATCCAAAATAATTCCTGAGTCATGCAAAAAGTTCAACATTTCTTTCAAGACAAAAGGAAAAATGTCATTTAAACGAATAATTTGTGTTCTCATTGTATTACAGTCATGATAGTAGATAACCATTCAGAAAAACCACAAAACAAAACCCAAAAGTAAACGCAAACACAAGATGAAAAATATATGAAAGTATGTCCATCAATAACATACAGCAGGAAAAAACAACAGCTTATTTTGCCACAGGGGTTGATAACATGCCGTTTCAAACTTCTCGCAAACATGAGAGCAATGTCCTTTTCAACATGCACCTGTCTTCCCTTGTGCTGGTTGAGCGGAAATTTGACAAAAATAAAGCACACACAGGCAACATCATGTTTGTCTTAATATCAATGGAAGGAGATTTTTCAAATACCAAATACCTTCCACCTTTGAAGCTGTCCACTAAGTGACTCAGGAAAAAAAATCAATGCTCGGCACGCATCGGGAAAGTATCGCTCATGAACACCGTAAAGCATGGGACACTTTGATAGGACTTTCATCCACTGCCAAGCAAAACTTTGGCCAGAATATGTAACCGAACACCTGTAAAATTTAACTCCCCCACAAGACAGATGAATGTCTCTACCTGAACCTCCCGATCCGCCGTAAGTGTGAGAACATCTCGCCTCCTGGGATAAACTCCAGCACCATGTACAAGTTGGAGTTGTCCTTAGGAGGAACAATACAAGAAATGACAAGTCAATCAATGCAACCACAAATAACTGATTAGAAGTTTGGACAGAAACTCAAAAAGTGGAAGCTGTATGACAGGTGTATGCTAGTCTTTGCTATCCAAGAACACATGGTCAAAGATCCCATTTCCACCTGAACATATACTTTGGTTTACTTTTACATGGACCAATAAAAGAAGACTGGTAATCAAAAGACTGATGGGATTTTCAGTGGTACATGTAGCAATCAAGAAAACATGTTTCGCATGTTTGAAAATGTAAGCACTCATGAATCTTTCTGAGTGTGTGAAGATTCAAGGACGACAAACAACTGTAGCTTTCCTTTTCATTCATTTACATTTCATTAATATAGTAGCACTGCCCACACTCTACACAGTGTACAATGTACATGTAGGGATATGTAAAATATACATGTCTAAGAACAGATCAAAACATGTACATTGTAAGTTGTTTTTTCCTAAATATTAAGCATCTGAATACACACAAGCACAAGTTAAATTTTTTCTTCCCTTCCACCTTGTATACTTGTAGCAGTTCCAGGCAGAGTAACTTAAAGTTACATGCCGATATACATTGCATTTCCACTTATCAATATGCACAGCATAAAATCAATCAGTTTGCTGTGGTCAGTAGAGGTCGGCTTCCTATGACAACATCTAATTTCGTAAACAAGAGTCGCAGAACCATGTACATGTACATCCAAGAGGCAACTGCTACATTTCTCACCTGTTTACATCTACATGGTACATGTATGTATGAATTTACAATAACTGTACATGCACATGTATGTAAGTGCACAGAGCAGTAAACCAGAAGTGCTCACATACATGTATCGTGTAATTACAGACACCCTACTGTTACAAAGCTAGACCAAGGCCATCCTTAATGATCTTGATGCACTCGTCAGACCGGACGCGTTCAACAGCTCTTGGAGCCTGCATCTTGCCGTTATTAATTTTCAATGCAGCATGTCATTTGGTGGTTATCGTCGACGAGACTCAACAAACTAATTCATCGTGGCTGCTTTAATAGAAACCCAGACGCATTCTTTCTCTTTTTTTTAATGCTCTGGTGTTCGTGAAAATTCAAACTGACACGCACATTGAAAAGACCCCCACTAGGTTTGGCTGTTGGGCGACAAGTGTGCAACGATGAAGGAAGGGTGTAGCGACAGTTACTATGGGCCGAGGTTGCCGTGGCGATGTCAGATAAAGGAGGATGTAATCTACGCAAGCAGACGGCATCATCGTCACCGAAGCAAAAGGCCACTTTTCATGAGTGCTGAGAGACAAGATTTTCTGGGGGGTTTTAAGCGAAGCTTGAGATTAGTAGCAACCACGTACAGTCCAATGTACAAGAAACAGTCGGCAAAAGCTTGATTCAAACAATTTCAGGGAAGAAGAAAGACGAATTCTAAGAAGAAAATATTAGGATCTAATTTCCAGCATGTTTGGAGTGGAATGAAATTGATTAGCCTGTATGCATAAATATGACAATGCTGAAAATCCCAACCTGCGACTCGTCGTGAAAAGAAAACAGGGGAAAAAGCCTGACTTGACACTCGTGACTGGATGCCACAAAATGAGTCATAAGGCCATCTTCCAGTGAATTTGCTGTAGCATTATAAAACAGAGCAAATTCAGCTCTCTGCTTGATGTATCACCTTATTTGGCCTCCTGATGAAAATGGACGTGTGGGAGAAAAAATATCCACATTTCCTGTTGATTCCCGTTGAATATTGTCCAAGATTTTTGTGGCCACATTTTATGTTGTCCATTACTTTCATCTCTGAACACGGTTGAGGCAGACCTGTCATTTCAATTTCCTCTCCAGGTATCAACTACTGTATGGGCGCAACATGTAATTAATTCTAAGGTGAGGTTGCACTGTGCCACCGTCATGTAATTATTCAGAGTTGCAAGAGTTGTCCAACATTCAATAAATGCTGCTACACATGGCTGGCCATCTGTGTCTTTATTATGCACAGTTTCAGGAAAGAAATCTCTTCACAAAGTGATACCAAATACACTTGTAAGGTTTTGTTTGTTTGTTTGTTGTTTAGTTAGCATAAAAAAATGACATCATCATCTACCGGTACCAGAGCATACAGATAAAGAGACACTAATATCGGTGACAACTTGTACACAATTACAGGGTGGTTTCATAAACCCTGTGTTGCAGTTAACTGTTTTCATGCCCACAATGTAAATATACATGAACGATATGCCTGAAACATTTCACACATTATTAAGGAGCTTGCAAATTTATACTACTGCACAGATGATCCAAATGGTGACAAGGTCAGAGGGCAGTAGAGAGAAGCCTGTGCATACATGCACTCCAGCTATGGTACACAGTGCCAAGAGAGAAGACATGAAGAAACGTGACACAGTGACAGTTGAGAGTGTTGTAAAGAACAGCGGGAGAAGCTATGCCATATGGATGATGGTGAACCTTCAAAACTGTCTGAATCATTCAGCGTACATGTACGTGTCATTACTGTGATCCTTCAAAGCCTTTCAGGGTCTTCTGCGTAACAAGATACCAGCACCTCACAAGTGCATGCATGTGTAATGCACTCTGTAGCATTCCAATTGGCAAATACAGAGGGGTACAATTTTATTATCAATATTTTTAATGAGATGCATACTGTACTATGATACATTGACTGGAACGTGGACGTGACAAGCGCAGGTTGGTAAACTGTAGATGAATTTTCCGGTTAGAACACTTATAGCTTTAAAACTGCATTTTTTCTTTGTACCAGATGATGACATCTGCATGGGCAATTATTACTTTCCAAGATATTACCTGGTGCCTTACGCCCACTTCCTTCTTTTGGACACCATTTTTAATGCAAATTTATGCCCAAACCAACAAGTGAACACTTTAGAGGTCCCACTCTCCACATTGATGAAGGTTTACTTCGCCTGACAGTATTTTTCAAGAACTGAATGATGTTCTGTTTCTCATCCAATGTATTACAGTCTGTTTAAAGCTGGAGTAGTATGAGGGATATCTCTGCATCAGGAGAGAGAAGTTATTCCTGGGCAGATTGGGTTCACTGGGACCGTGTCTGTGCATAAACAGCCAGGGATGAATGGGATAAAGATTAAAATAGGAAATATTCACTTCAAGCAGGAAAGGGATCAGACTGGGGTGGGTCACGTTCAGCTGGGGTCCTGGTCGGTCTCCTTTAGGGCAAGATCTGAGGTGCTGGGGTCAATCCAAGATGAGATTTTTATCAATCGCGCGAGATGACTCTCTGAAGCCACCAAAGGCGTTGTTGTGATTTTGGATGGGGGGGGTTGATGAAGGAGTAAAAGCAAGGGTCAGTGACTTCCTCAGAAGCGTCATCGTTCCGTGAGCTCATTAGGGTGTTGATTATAGGGTAGGAGGACGTTTCAATCACCAGTTATTACTTGGCCAGAACACCTCAGTATGATTTTTTTCTTTAGTTCAGAAAATTCTGCCTCAGAAGTCCATTTCGTTTATTCATGTTCTTCTCAGAGGGTTTCTTTTCAATCTCTCTTAATCAAATCTAATCCAGCGTAAATCTCCACTCATCATTTGAATATACATTACAGAGTCATTGTCTTGTAAACACTTCCCACGTGAAAAACAAAATCACAGATTCAAATTTCAATTTTGGCATTCAAAGGGCAAGGTGAATGAATACAAATGTACGTACAGCAATGACTAACCAACAAATAACTCATGGGAAAAAAATCCCGTCCTCATTCCTGGCACCCTACTGCATGTGTGCGATCGAGCCATGATTCCTAGTCTCAAACAGCTGCCTTTCCAGTGAAGGCCACACACTGGAATGGGTCTTAGACATTGATTCTACAAGTCCACGCGTTTCAAGATTCGTCCAAACAAAACGTTGCCATGACAAGCACCTGTGCAACACAATGAATTACACTTAACAATGCAGCTAGTGAAACTCATCAAAGAAATGAGGCATTTGAATCTTCCTGACATTAACATGTGAAGTCTACCTGAAAAAACACTTAACATTTTCTACCAGATGCTTCAGAATTCTTTTCAATTAAAACAGCAAATGAACACTTGCGCAGAAAATTGCATTACTGTGAAGCAAACATGTTAACCAGCTTTATGACTCCAAACCTGACAATTAATATTTTCATGAAGTCCCCCAAACCTGATGGGAGCTGTGTAATCCAGTCATATCAATTTATAAAAGCCTCACAGCAAAAGCTTGGACAAAAGCTTCCCACAGAACCAAACGTCTGGGCTGTGACTTTCATAACCTACATATTTCAGTCAGTAAACAGTTCAGAAAAGTCCTTTTAGTTACAGAATATTCAATTCAATCATTCTGCTAAAACCAAATCAGATTCATTAATGTGGGGCCAATTTCATGGAACTGCCAAGCACAGAAATCTGCTTAGCATGCAAAAATTTTGATTAGCCAAATCAAGTTATCAGCTAAAGTGCCATGCAAAGTATACTACTTGGGACCAGTTCACAGTTCCTTTTTGCTTAGCACAAGAGTCTGCTAAGCAAACACCGCTTGGTGGCTTTGTGAACTTGGGCCCTGGTCATTAATAGCATCGACTTTCTTACCTTGAAGTGGAACTCTAAGCTAACAAGGAAAGGGAAGCTGATGGATTGTAGGATCTTCTTTTCATTGAGTGTGTGTTCTACTTGCTTCAATTTCACCACCTGTGATGAGAATGGCACCAAATTGTGAGTTGTGCCAGTAGAGCACAATGAACTGCCCTGGCAGTATGATTCACAACCTGTCCGAATCCCTTAAAACATAAAACTGCATTGGTACAATAATGGCATTTTTAAAAACAACGGGCGCTACGGCCAATGCAACATGACAGCTGATTTGAAGGCGGCAATGTAATTTAGGCAAACTGAATGATAAACTTTGCACTGCCAACCTCTTCTGTTCAAAGCGATATGCTCCATTTTCAAAGGCATGTCAGTTTATTTGAGGAATACAGAGAGATCGGTGCTGTGCCTGACCAACTACTGAAAGAAATGTAGAATACTTAAATTAGGACAGTAGAAATGAATGCCATTGGTGGATAAAAGATATTCCCTTCAAAAGGCACAGGTCAACTTGATAACATATCCATGTAAATAAAACATGTCAGTTTGTTTTGTCCTTCTTGAAATTAATTTTTTTCCAGTTGTGCAGGAATAATTTTTATTTTTACTTGCAGATAATCACCTTGAATGACTGCACACATGTACCTCGACAGACGTGTGGATTCACTGAATGAATTTTGTTACTTTGGGTTTTCATGTATGGTGTACTGCGTAGCAACACAACATTGATATCATTAGTCAAATTGACAAGGAACTTCCGTCTAAAAACTCTGAAAAGGGCTTCTCTTAAATGTTCTCGTCAAAAGAGTGGATTCATAAGGTAGTGCTCATGCATGAAAAATGAAACTGACACTCACAATTGGGGGGGATTTTTTTTTTTTCATTCCCATCTACCCGTGGCCTCATGGACTTCCAGACTTCATCATGCTTCATTAATCACAAGAACCAACGTGTGGCTGTAAGCACGAGACCTAAAAATAGCCATCGCAGTGGTAGGTATTGCAGGGGTCATGAGTGCGGTCACTCATACCTACCTCTATGGTGCAACACCTGTGCTCTGCTGTCTGGTAATCAGCCCTACTGTTAACGAGCGCTCATGAACTGTGTAGCGTCACAAGTCAGAAAGTGACAAACGTCATTAACTTCTCTTCCCACTTTCAACATTACAAAAGCAAACTACTCGCAGGTTTGTGAAAAGCACCAATAATTGTTGTGACAGTGGAAAGGGGCGCCTTATACATTTTTCCTAATTGATATTCGATTTTCCTAGACCAGGGGAGGGATAAAAAGGTTTGGTATTTCAAACTCGACAGATCCTCCGAAGCTGTGAGAACAAAACCTCAAACTCAAAGCACACCTAACACTGGCACTTCCTGGACAAAACTGGGAACTGATCTGTAGAAACTCAAGATATTTTGCCCAAATTACAATGGAATTGCAAGTGGAAAATCCCATCCGTATACGCTACTTACAAATCAGAGTCTGGGCCAACAAAAGGAAAGGTTTTTGTTTATTTCAGAATACAGTTCTCCTGAAGACATGCACGTGTACAGGGGAATGTACCATTTAACATCTGATTTTTGGTATTCAATACATTATGCTGTAGTTTACCAGTATTGTGTGTTTTCTTGGGTCATACCTTCTGTTTGTCAAGGATCTTCATGGCAAAGAAATTTCCAGTGGCTTTGTGCTTGACCAGCATTACTCTGCCGAAGGAACCAGTCCCTAGGGTTTTTAACCGCTCAAAGTCATCTAGACATGCTGTGTTCTGCAGAACAGAAAACATCCAATACAAAGACAACTGGTCACTGATGGCACTGAAACCTTGGGATTTAAACAAATCAGTGCACAGGTATTAATTGATTTACAATGTACATGAATGTAAATGACAACCAGAGAAATGATTAAACAAGACGAAAATCTTCTTCTCATTTGTCTACGGTCTTTTATGATTTGGCAAAAGCATTTTATAAGCTACTGTTGGCAACAAACTGTAACAGAGCAGTTACTTTGTGCAAGCAAAGCTTACATAATACCTTGCAACCATTACTGAGGACCTTTTTTAGAGCGTAAAGTAGTCACGGGATCTGACTGGTCAGTTTTATTAAAACACTTTTCGGTAACTGCCGATGTGTTACACAGGCTACACCCCTGGTGGGGGAGGACATGATTTGAGCTTGCTGATACACATGAAAAACTGTATAATTGGTGAATAGCATATGTGTTGCCAAGCCAAGTGCCCTTCAGGCATTCCCATTATTTACGATAATAGCGCCCTCTTGTGTTCATGCACAGTCCCCATTAGGCTGGCGTACTCACTTGTGTGGGGCTGTCCCATTTCCTCTGGCATTCTTCTCTAGCTTGCTGAAGGAAGTTTTTCACTGTTGATCAAAACGGAATGAAAAAATATCAATGGAAACAAATTCACTTCGCAGAAAAAAAAAAGCTTAAAAACTGAACTCTGCAATCTCAAGTCTCAATGGGCAAAACATGGGTGACAAAATCAATACACCTTCGTACTGAGTGTACTCCATGTTGCCACCTAAAGTTATTGAGTGAAAGTATCACATTAACATTAAAATTGAGTTGCTGTACATTAAACCTCAAGAAACTTCATACAAGTGACAGTGCCAGAGGTTTGATTGCAAAATGTCTGATTCCTAACTGGCCAAAACTGTCCCCAATGACTTTCTTTTCATATTGAAAGACAATTTTGCCATTTTTTTTCTTCTTGAAAATACAACATGTACGTATGTACCATCTAGAGCCATGCATGGAAAATTGATTTCTGCACATGTGCATGTACACGTACAATGAGCGCTGGGTGATATCAATGTGTGTGCATTGTGTACTTGTACATGTACATGTACACTCTATGATGCATGCAATGCAATGCATGCAGAATGCCTACTCAGCACACATGTAAATCCTTGTATGACAGATATGAAAAGTATGAGCTAACTACAAGCTGGCATGCATAAGAACACCGCTACGAAATTAAGGCATGCTGCTGGGCAAACGGACTGTAGGAATATTGGAAAGTGAAGTGCAATGAACGTTTTGTATCACTCGCAAAATGCAGAGTCTGTCAGGACGACTCGGTGTCATTTACAGTGGATGAATGTGCTTCTACACATTCTATGCTTTATCTACGCTACGGTACATCCCCAGTATGCAAGCTCTGCATTCAGCGGAGGTGAACCAAAAAAAAAAAAACCTGCCAGCGTAGCAATCCCAATTTCCAACAGGCACATACACATTCACCATCACGGCAGACTGAACATGTGCTCCCATATGCCAAGTGACATCTCAGAACTCTTTAATTCATGCTGCACTTTTTCCCAGCTACATGTAATCTTTCCACCTACTAACTGCACAATTTTAATGCATGGAATAGTTGATATCAAATCTCTGGTGAGCCACCTTAAGTGAGCTATGAATAAGCATGGATGTTTACTACTGAAGGCTATCACAAAATATACTGGTAGGCTGACATGTACGGTGTATGTGTATATTGCTACATTGACTTTCTGGCCATCTACATGTACATGTAACGGTTTGATTCCAGGGAATTATTTCTGAAGGCATCAACATGTCTGAGTAACTTCATCAACAGCCAGGAATGCACCCAACAGAATCTCCCCCGCTACCCCGGTAGATTAGTCCATTCAGCGAACACGTCCCAATTATTTCTTATGGAGAAGCCAAGCTAGCCTTGTGCAGACCATTTGTGCTATTTGGAACAGACCAGGATGGTTGGTTAATCCGGGCTGAAGCAATGGTCTATGTGTTTGACCGGCACACGGCAGGCCAACGGAACTGACAGGAAGGTCAGTGCGGACTTTATCAGGAGGGGCTGTGGCTTACCCGGATGTCCACACTCAATAACCAACACAGCTTATTGGAAGCCAACACATGATCAAATGCACCCACATTTTCCATGCATAATGTACATGTATTTACAATTCTGCCAAGATGACAAACAAATGTACCGTAGATGTCAAGCCTTACATATCCCGATGACAAATACCCACTCAGTCAAGACATCTTTCATGTGCCTTAAAAAAATTGTAGAACAGAAATCAGTTATATCATGTAACGCATACATAAGCATTGCATCCTCTGCCCTGCAATAATTTTTCAATGCTGAATGCAAGCACGTCCACTGTATGATTCAATACTTCAAAGTAGCCACTATACTTGACAGGGACTGTTAGAAAAGAGAGACGACACTTAAAAATAGAGGCAGATATTCTACAACTGGAGAGTCTTCGACATGTGTTGCATCCACTACTGAAAGTGTACCACAGCCAAAAGATAGAGAGAGAGCAGTGTGACATGTATATCCCAGCCACCACACCAGCCATGATCTGGACATGTATGCACATGTACACTATCTACAATGACAGGGAAGTTAAGAAAATCTCAGTCATGCTTGCTGGTTCAGGAACAATTTCCAAGAGGGACAGACACGCCCTCAGTTGCTTTGTGGTGAACCATATGGCACAGAGCCCTTTCCACACCTTCACTGTAGAGTCAGCGTCAAAGCCATCACTGGTTTAACACCTTCCGAGATGTGAGGAAATCGTACTGTAGGTGCTTACACACTGACCCCTGTCACCGTACGCCATGGGCCGATTCTATTTTAAGACCTGTTCCCACCCATGACCAATCAAATCTGTTTCAGGTAGGGCACCCTGGGGTCAAGGAGCAACACACAAGTCTGATAATGCCATGTCCAAATCTTTCGGTGAACCGTGATTCAGCTATTACCAGCAATATACATCATATACATGTAAACTGCAGTGTGAATTGGGCACAACTTTTGGAGAGATTTTTAAACAATGACCGTTTATTAATTATCCAATTGAATCAAAGACCTGTGCTTACAAATCAGGGCCTCATGCATTGCACACCCAATTCTTACACAATGGAGCGGGAATGTTTGCTTTCCACATCGCTGGCTCTATTTCAAGACCACATGCCTTATTGCTAACAGGTGAATTCAATTTTTATTATTTTTTTTTGGCAGGAGGCAGACATGAAACAAAATTGCTTATTAAATGCAACTTAAAACATGTCCTTGTGCATACAGCATGTTTCAAAGTAAGCTTTTGGGATCTTTTTTTGGGGGGGCTGGTCTGTATGTATAATGTAGTTGATTATTTGAAATGTTAAAGGCAACACTAGTAGAATTGAACACTTGCACACTTTAAGACAGGTAACAGTACACGTAAGCAGAACAACAGCAGAGCAAATTCATGTTCATATGTACATCATATGGGTATTATTCTCAATTGGACATTTGATCGGACTGCAATGTACATGTATGTCAGCCAAATGCCCACTGCCAAGGTGATGCGTGTTTTAAAAACAACTCCCATGGGGTCCAAATATAATATTAGTGTAAAGAAAGAAACGGAATCCCGCAAACACTGTATGGGATGGCGTTGGATTAAACTGTGAAAAAGTCGGGAAGAATTTACTTACTGAAATCTTTTGTTCCAGTTCGAGTCACTAAAACAAAAGTATTGGAAAGTGGTGAGGAACTTACTAATAGCACTAACTTGCTGGATTGAAAGTATTTTGGTGACAAACAACCGGACATGTGCTGCCATGTCACACAATTCAACAAGCCAACAATGCAGGCTGTGTCAACAAAAATAATGTCATAAAATTAAATTATACAAAGGGATTTGCAATTCATCCTGACGTGCTGGTAAATCCTACCAAACTGAGATTTCACGCAGCACAGTTTCCAAAGTTTACATTTTTGATGGGGACCTTCATTGTTCGATAGCAGAGAAATGAGGAAAAAAATTGCTGAAGATTGATCAGGGTGAAGTACCGCGGTGAAAGAGTGATATGTGACTGAAAACCATTCCACAGGCATATCATTAAGACTGCAATAAAGCAAGGAGCTGTGGACAACATGTACGGTACCCTGTACATGCACGCTTTGTAACAGCAGCTTTAAAACAAACATCACATGACAGACACCAAGCTTTCTGAAGTTTTACAAATTCTCCAAGAAAGAACTCTACATGTACACTGTACAATGAGCCCCCTTCAAGTCACCCTGGTTTTGAAAAGGAACTCCTGTAGTATCCATACAATACATGCTTCTTGCAAAATAATTTGTTTACCCCAGTGACCTCACTGACCTATATGACTGGTACCCATTCTGCCACAGCCAAGGCTATATTTACATGTACACCTGCATATCGGTGCATCTGGTTGACCGCGCAGAAATGGCTGATTCTGTTAGAATGCATCAGTGGATGCATTTGAGCACCCGTACGTGAGCGGTACTGCTACAAACTGTACAGGACGTGCACGTATTGGTACATGTACCTTGCATGGAGACCTTTTCAATAGCCCAAGAATATCGGATTGGATTTTTCAAAAGAATGGATGCAAAGGAGGCCTCAGGTCTCGGTTCTCTGATTGAGTCAAGCTGGTGGATCTAAAACGTGTGTGTAACTGAGCACCCTATCTACAGGCTGCAAAGGGCAAGAGGTGGTGTCAGATGAAACTTTGAAATGCACTCAAGATAAACTGTGTAAACGGTATCAAGCTTGCAAGATGAACTGTACATGTACATTTAGGTTAATGCAGGTGGAAAAAAGCCTCTTACTAACACGTACACAGAGACTGCCACATAGCAATTAAGTTTTAGCATGCTGAAGTGTGTGATACTTCCATCACACAGACTGAATAAAAATGTCTGCCCCATGTCGCCTAAAATGGCAAATGCCCCATACTTTTTCCCTATTTAGGCTAACATGAAGCATGTCTCACTCACCCAACAAATTCTTGTCCCTTGTGATTTAACTTCAGTAAAGGCAATTACAGCGACTGGCTTCACAAAATACTACGGAGATGTGCGGCACACTTTACATCACACGCATGCAGCATAAATCCTTAGAGTGAAACCCCAAATACCTGTAAAAGTATCTTTATCCAAAGCTCTCGCTTTTCATTTTTCCAAGCCATATTCAAAAATGATGATTCAACACGAGCGCAATTTCCTGGCCTAATATGAGCTTCCGCAATATACATGTACATGCATGGTCTATGGCACATGTACATTTTATTGACAGAGGCAGGCACACATGTAGAGGTGTTTGCAATTTACATGTAAATAATCTTAACAGTGTCAAGAGTGCGTGTACCTCTCCCAACAATGAATCCCATCAATGAAACAGCTTTTACTGAGTGTTGACAAATAAAATAACCTCACGGGATATTTCCTCGACATTCATGCATGCGCTTGGCATTTCCCCGTAATGTACATTTTGATATCATCATTTCCTATGGCAATAGGTACTGCATGTTCAAACAGGCCACCCTGGTAAAGGGAGGTCAAATAAACATGAAT